TGTGTGTGTGTGTGTGTGTGTGTGTGTGTGTGTGTGTGTGTGTGTGTCGGCCAGCACATGTGCTGATAAGATAATAATGAGCTGTCATTGATCAGCGAGCAGTCATACCTTATTGACTACCTGAACGCTGACTGTTTTGAACAACCTTCCAGTCATTTTTCAAACAATGTTTACTTGTCAGCCGATGCATCAAGTCTGGAACTTCCTACTCTGAAGAATCTGATTATTTACTGGAAGTTCTGATTGATAATGCTCACAAATAGGCTAATACTGATTTGTCAGTCTGGACATCACTGTGGCCCAGACTGAAATACTTAATTAACTCTGGAATGGATTTCTATGAATATTTGATGAGAATTACGTGGTGATCAGAAAAGGAATCCTAATGGGATTTTCTTTATGCTGACAGGTTTGTGGCCAAATACAAGCCAACCTGATCACATTATCACCTTATTCCATGCTGATTAGATAGTTTTGTTATGATGGACATTTAGTTTAGAAGGTGTTGAAAAAAGTGGATGTTTATATATCAAATCTCCTCTTTTGTTTATTAGATATAAACGTATATATATATATACTGTATCTATGTTTTTTTTTACACAATCTCAAAGTATTTTCCACTGTGCCTGAGTCTTGCCCCAACTCACATAGAACCATGTTTAACTTCTAAAAACAGGAAAGAGCACACTTTGAACAAAGCACAGCTCTTAGCAAACACTGATGGATAGATTTGTTGTCATGTGATTTGGTGCTCTGTGTCCATATTCCAGCAGGTCAAAGTTTTTAGCTTTAATCCTACTCTGAAGCACTTTAGCACATTTAGTTTCTGTAGCAAAAAAGCCGTATGGATGAATTCCGACCGTGTGAGGGACCCACGCACAAACCCTTCATAGGTGATTGTTATAATGTTCTGTTGTAGAAATTGGGTTTCAGGAGAATCTCATTGTTGGTCGCTGCTTGAATCGCATTAGGACGCCATGTGATGCATTCACTGTTCCATGTCCCGTTTGGGCTTTGTAACGCTCACGTTCTAATCCACATTATGTATGCGCCTTCCTTACATTTGTATTACCTCAATAGCCTGATGGGAGGCGCGTGAATGCGGGGGAGCACAGGGGGGACTGACCAGACAATGCGAGCGTTGTTAATAGATGGAGGCGCTTTTAGCACAAATCTGGTGCCATAGCCATCGGGAGGTATTGTCTGCACGCCTTTGCAGCTTAGATAGAGTCAACGCTGTTCTCATAAGAATAGTCGTGTCCAGTTTGTCTAACGTGTGATTTCACATATCTCCTACATTAGCAACTATGCAGACTACATGAAGATTTGTTTCATATCATGCTATATGCAGAAATCAGCTTCAAACCTGGTCAGTCGAACTGACTTGGGTTACGATTGTGCGTTCAAACCCATCGCTCCAATTTTCTTTCCATTTTCTTAATATTTCATCATTTTCTTCCCCACATCAGGACATAGCCTCAGGGAGCGGTTGGTCTTATCTATAATTCCTGAATCAGTCTGAGGTGTATAGTGTCTCAGAAAATGTTACGTTTTTCTATGATATTTTGAAATATTAATGTCGAAATATGAATATGTCTTTGGAGTAACTCCCAACAGGCACACATTAGCTCTCACGGCAGATGCTCAATTCCTCCTTCCTTCCACAGCCAGTGAGACTTGTCCTCCTGTTGACCTCTTTGATTCGGAGCGATAGCACAGCGGGGGGTTAGAGGGTTCGCGGGAGATGGGTGTGCTGCATTTTGCTTGTCTGGGATGATAATGTGTCCAGTTTTATTTTGAACACAAATCCTGTGCCAAGAACACGGTGTTCAATCCAAGAAGAAAAACAGAACAGAAATAAACTCGATCACAGAAGGTGAATTTACGTTCATTCACAGTGGAAACCTCAACACTCTGAAACGAAAACATGACAAGCTGACTTTAATGCAAAGATGAATGAGACCTGATAGCAGAAATGGAAGTTTTATAACCATGGAAATCATGGCAGGACAAAGGTTTGATGTCCCAAAAGGAAAATTCAAACATAATTACAGAACTCAGTGTATCTAACGAAGCTGCTGCCCTTCTAAATATCTGTGAACAAGCAAGCGCCTCCGCTTTGAAAGAGTATCTAGGGATAGGGCTGATACTAAAACGACACATGAAAGGGACATTTTATCACCATTTCCCAACAGCCAGAAGTCTCATCGAAGCGGTGGCATTCATTACTAGTTGTTTAAGGTCTCAAAGGTTTCAAATTCAAGAGAATTTAGGGATTCTACTTCAAGCATCAATGTAAAGAATCACATTATACTGAGCAGGATCCCCTCATTAGATCTGAAAAAAATATTTCTTATGGGGCAGAAAACCTGTAGGTTAGACAAATTTGTTTAAAAAAACTGTTGGTCTATCCAGAGTTTGCTGAAAATCAACAAAATTCAACCAACGACTGGACTGGTGCAAAACTGATGCAGAGTGGGAAAATGTAGAAAGATCTCCAATATTAAACTCTGTTTCTAAAGTTCCTTGTTTAGACTATTTGGATGGCTTTGACAAGCGTTCAATATTCAAACATATTACAGCAAAAGTCCAACAGTTCCACTGTGAAACTAAACCAGATGGAAGACATTTTGCCGGTGGAAGCACAGTGATGGAAATGCCACACTTTGAGGCTGCTCACTGCCACAGACACAAGACAGCTTTAACCCATTGATGTGAATGTCAATTCTCCATTACATTATGATGATATGAAGCCATCCATTCATGAACCTATGTTGCCCGGAGGTGGATTCATGAACTGGGTAACCCATAGCAAATCAGCAAGTCTACCAAGGAATGTTTCAAAAGAGGAAACTAAAGATTTCTGAAGATAATGGTGAATCAAAGTCTATGTGACAGTCTATCAAGAGTGTGGGGAATCTGAAACCAGCAGTTCATGCAAGAAAACCCTCAAACATGATTATAGCTGCAGGATTTTTGTGGGAGAGGATGGTTATAAATTTCGAATAATCGTGCAAAATGTCAGCAAAAAGTCATTTATAATAAAAAAGATAAAGTATTTAAGTTCAAGAGAATACTTACTTTTTCCACTGGGGAATTTATATATTTTTTTCAATATAAAGCTGCTTCGCCATTTTTTTGCTCTTGAAAATCGTTCACTCCTGGCATTGTCTCAAACAGAGTTGTTGTCAAATAAAAAAAAAATCATTGTCACTTATTACCCTTTTACAACAGCTTCCATTAAAAAAACATTTATTTCCATTCATTGGTAAAGTCTTTTGCTGGCTGATTGTCTGCACACTTAAAAGCACACGGCAAAACATAATACACGGCAAAACAAAATGCAACAACAGCTTTCAAAAGCTAACTAAAGAATTTTGCGACGCATTTGATAGAAAAGTCTAGTTAATACAGGCCGGGAAAAAGAGTCCTATTTAAAAACGACATCACAGTTTGAGGCGCAGCCAGCAGGAGGCAGTGTGCGGACACTGCTGTCACCTCATCACCTAACATCATCTTCTGCATATTTTCTATTTGTTCACGCTTCACATTGTTCCCATACAGTGGAAGGTCATGCAGCTCACAGGACAGGAAGGTCCTCCCTTTTGGCCCCGGTCCGTTTCCTGTTCTCCCCTGAGACCTCTGAGTGAAAGTTCAGGCTCTTTTTTTTTTTTTTTTTTCTCCTCACATGGAGTCGTCCAAATGCTCGTGCAGACGCTCTCCCCTGTCGCTGTGCCCGTGTCTCCTGGAGAGAAGTGTTTGATTTAGACCGCGCGGCTCTGGCAAACTTGTGAGCACGCCTGAGTAAAAGTCTACACGCATTACTGTACCTCCATAGAAGGAAGGCCAGCGCTCCTCCACACAGCAGCAGCAGCAGGACCAGACACACTATGGCCGCCGTGGTCCCTCGGCCCTCCGCCTCACAAGGCGCTGTCGACCACGGACAACACATCCAATGAAAGGGGGTGCAGAATAAAACTCATCACTTCTCTACAAGGCCAGAAAAGGTCCACTGCAGCGAGTCCGAGCCCTAAGCTAGCGGGCTGCAACAGCTGGGGATAAAAGGAGCTATCCTAAAAACGGCACAACTGTCTTTGGATCGCCGTGCCTATTGGCAGATGCCGAGAAATGCATTTGTCTCGCCCGTTATGCGGCTTTGGTAGCAGTTGTAGCAGTAGAGATTTATTGATCGCACACTGGAAAATCCTTCATCAGCGAAACACAGCGGCACAGAAAACACACGAGGCAATATGTAGTCAGGACACAGCTCCGAGAAATGTAAAGCTCAGTGTCAAAGACTCGGATTTCTGAATATCCTTGACTAAATAAGGGGGAAATAGGAAAAAGCCGTGTTTGATACTTCAATTAAATGGGGATTAAACATTACCATGGCTTCATAATTAGACAGGGGGAGACTTCTAAAGTACTGCGTTTGCAATATTTCACAATACTCGCAGGATATTTGACATCGTATTCATCTCAGGAGATATGAATGGTCATACCTGCCGAGGCTGGCGGCTCTGACCAGTTTTCAGGAGTGAAAAAACCTCTCTAGGTTTTGTATTTACAATTGATAAAACTAGATAAAACTGTGATAGAAACTGGAAAGCTATGTTTAAAGCCAAAGGCAACTGCTTTGATTGAAACCTTTCAGTCAGAAAAATCTTTTTAAGATAAAAAACAAAGTTGCTTCTGTTAATGACGTTAATACATGTTGTTCTGGCGCTGTTAATGTTTCATGGAAAAACACATTCAAGGGTTTGCCTGAGTTCACACGTGCACGTACCTGCTGTGTAAGTGGCAGAACTGTAACCTAGCTTGTTGCCAACCATGCAGGTGAAGTGACCGCAAACGGGAGTCATAGTCAAAAACAACGTGGTTCCGTCTTTGGAAACTTCCCCCACCGTCTGGGGGAGGGCGGCTCTCTCGTAGAGCCAGCTGAAGTGGGGCTCTGTCCCCCAGGCCTCGCCACACACCAGGGTGGAGTGAGACACGTTGATGCTGACAGACACGTGATGAACCGCCTCTGCACAGACACACAAAGAAGCCGAGGTCAAATACGAAAGCTGGGATGTAGATCTGGACAGTAACGAGAAGTATAAAGTGTCCGCTCCGGGTTTCTGTCTGTTATGGAGAGAGAATAATGCATTAGCCAAGAAGTCTAAGACAAAGAATCATGAGGGACATTTAGCGCTGTCTGGAGAACCCGGCTCAGGTTCGCGGACAATAATGAGATCAGAGAGTGAAGTACAGTGTTCGAAAATGGGGTGATGGAAAGCCCTGGAAGCTGAGAGAGCAGATGTAAAAGAAAAGTGGAGCTGATGAATTGATACCGTTAGAGCCGGCAGATCTGAGGAAAAGCAGAAAACTGAAAAGCTGCAATGAGACCAGAATTGTCTGGAGGGAAAGACACACACATACACAAAAGAGAACCAGACAGCAAAGCCTTGGGGCAAATCTAATTTAAAGTGTTAAAGAATCAAATTAGACAGCCTCCTTTAGAGGGAAACAACGCGCAGTGATGTGAGATAAAAGCAGTCAGTGTCCTTTTGGTAATGTCACACCTAACACCTGCTGTCATGCCGGTGACTTAATGTGCCAGACGCCTCTTTTTTAATAAAACGTTTGAAGATTTTAAAAATTGTGAGTGAAACAATGACATACTCTGATCTGGCATCTCATTGTGACCCTCGTCAAGCAAACTGAGTGACACTGCTCAAATGCAGTGGAATGGAAAGACCTGATTCTGGCTGTTCGATACCTGCCCGGTGACAGCGCAGACACAGGGCTCCACAGACTGTGAAAGGTTCACACTACAAAGACAAAAAGGCCCTCACCGACCCTCCGACTGTTATGGGACCAGACAGGCCTCATGGAGAGCAACCCGAATCCACAAAGACCCTGTCACCTCCTAACTGAGCCCAAAGGGTCTGCTGATGTCCTGACTGGTTACAGACATTGGCGCTCAAAATTAGGTGGCTGGAAATCGTGGTTCTACTTCATATTTCCAAAAACTGACCGTCCCTGAGCAGCTCCAGCTTCTACCAGCTGCATTTCCGAACATTTAAGGAGGTCTCTGCCCATTGGAACGGTTAGCAAATGTTCACTAAAAAGGATTATATCCCTGTCTTCTTTTTGCAAGCACCAGTTTGTTTGGTTTTGAAATTTCTCAAATCGTTGATTTTCTTTGAATGATTTATTTTCTCAAATAAACTACGACTCAATTCATCTTAAATGAATTGTTGTTCATTCTTTTGTTGGTACGTGCTGTCAGAAATGTCTGCGTGGTGATGTGCTGGTTAGCATTGTTGCCCCACACTGAGGGAGTTCCTGCTTTGAGACTCTGCTGGGGACTTTCTATGTGAGGCTCGCACACTTTTCCTGTGTTTGTGGCCTCTTCTGGGTACTCCTCGACTTCCTCCGGCTGCCCTGAATGCGCATTAGAGTAGCTGGTGAAATTGAATTGACCCCAGAGGTGACCGAGAGCGTTTAGGGTTGTCCGTCTCTGTGTGGCCCTGTAATGGACTGGCAGCCTGTCCGGAGTGTGCCCAGATTCTCACTGCAGGGTGCATCTGGGGGGGGTGGGGGAGTGGGGGGGGGACTCCAGCTGGAGCCCTGAATTGGATTTAAGCGGATATAGAAAATGAATGGATGAAATCCCACACGCCTAACTGCTTGCAACGTCAGAAGGTGTCAGGATAAAGGGGAAATGACTTCCTGCACAGAAAAGCTGTTACCTTGGTCAGTAGAGAATGTAATAAAGGGACTCGCACTCGCAGTAATTTAAAAAGTTCTCTCCCCCCGCTGCACAGCGCACCGTACCGTATTCCCTGACGATGCAGTGCGCAGTGGCGTTGGCCCCCGCGTGATCGGTCACAGTCACGGCGTACACGCCGCTGTCCGCCCGGCTGTATCCGTTAATCTGGAGTGTCGTTTCCTGCTGCTCCACGTTCACGCGGACGTTTGGCCCCGTCCCCGTGCACTCCAGGCCTCCGCCGCCGCCGCCGGGGCACGTGGCCAGCCTCACTCTCACCAGATCATTTCCAGTCTCGGGCTCCCGCTCCCAGGTTACCATGGAGACCTCTTTCAGGGGTCCCTGCCGGATCTGGGCTCTCAGAGCCAGGCTGGAGCCGGGGATCACATGCACAGGCTGCTCGTTGAGGATGTGCACGGACGTACAGTGGAGCCCACGCAGCACTGAGGACAGAATGGGAAGCATTTGTTACTACAGGCTATTTGGTGTCTCCATATACATTGTGTGTTTTTGACTTGGCTGGTGAGGATGACCTGCGTTTTGCATATTAAAAAGGGGCGAGATAGAAATCACATAAGAGAGAAAATAATAGCACAGTCCAGAAATATCTGTAGCTCAGAAGTGTATGAATCTATAGTATATGGCCACTTTCTGTCAGTGATGTCAAGTGATGATTTATGGTGCATGACAGGCATGCCTAATGTGATATCCATCAAGCCACATCAGTATCCTAAAGTCTGTGTCAAAGCCTGGTAAGCTTGTGTGCATTTACCACCAGGGCTATAAATCATGTGTCTTGACTTGATTGGTAGACGATTGGAGGAAGTGTAAATAATGCAAGTGCGGTTAGTAATGCAAGAGGCTGTTGAGGAGCCGCGTTTTGTCTGTACATAGTGATGCAATATCTAAAGCTTGAGCTTCCTCCGGATTTTGTGAGAATGTAAGACCTCTGCGGTCTCATATTGAATGCGGAAGAATTGGGAAAACACATCTGCACGAAAAGTAGAAAACATTTTCCTTCTTCGGCCTCAAGCATTATTTCTCTCAGCAGAAATGATTAGGATTACGGTTACGACAAAAAAAGCCTTACTCAAGAGAAACAGTGGGGCAACTCTCCAGCACAGGAAATGCTGCAGATCCATAACACCTGCTGATGTAGAAAGAGAACAGAGAAAGAGGAATTTGTCCGTGACCAAAGCAGCAGCTCACCATTTTTCTCTGTTGTGGGGCAGCAGGGATGCCGCTGCAGTAGGAATAACAACCCCTCCAGAGAAAATGCAGGAGGGAAAATGAGAGCACATAACAATCAAAGCAGCGTGCGCCGCCATCAGAAATTTAACTTTTTTTTCTCCCTCCTTCATTTTATTTGTGAAGCATCCAAAGAACAACGGGATTGGCACCGCTGACTCTAAAGTAAGAAATTGGAACAAAATATAGATGAAAGTGCTGCCAAAAAAAAAAAAGAAAAAGAATCCACTCATGCGCATCAGGAACAACAATGTGCACGCGGAGAAAAAAACTGAACAGAACACTACCCGCCTGCAATAAATCTATCCTGGAGTTTGTCCTCTCGTTCACCTTGAAGTGTGCAACATCAAAACCAGCTGGAGATAGAATCACCTACCACTGCAAAGCTGAGACAAAGCGTCCGGTCAGAGTCAGAGTTCCAACTTCTCTGGGTTTAGAGTCTGGCAGAGTTCAGGCTGCTGGTAAATCTACGGCTCCAGATGAAGTAGTTCCTCCCAAGCACTTTTTGTTACATCATTACAGAAGACAGGACTTAAACAGGTGTGAAAGCCCTCGCTGCCCCCGGTGCCGGTCACCTCTAGTAAGGTCCAGTTACTGTGCGCGTGTGAAAGTGGGCTCCATGTAGGCGTCACCTTGTTTTCAAGCCATTTCCTGCCCCCACACCCCCACACCCCACCCTTCCTGAACTTTCAATACTTCTGTTTTGCTTTGTGCTCTTAATAAGTGAACCCTCCATTGTAAAAATGAAATCCCTCCCCCTCTTCCCACCATCCCCTCCTGCTCTCTCTCTGACCGGTGTCCAGACCTCTGCTCCCAGGCATACGCGCCCGCAACAATGCAACATATCCGACTGTGGACTTTCACACAACAGTCGGTGCACTTTTTGTAAACAAAGATTAAATGCAGTGGTATTCATAGAAAGGAAAAACGCACGCTGATGAAATGGCCTTTGTACTTCAGGCTTCTTATCCAGCAGGAACCCCATTTGGTCCGCAAACACAATACATTGTCTGGGGTTTGGACTCTAATGAGGACATAATACAGTACAGGACTCGCTCTATTTTTATTTCTTCCAATAATTGTCTATTTCCCCCCCCCCCAATAATTGCCTCTTGCCAGCAAGTGAGAAACATTTAAAAGCACGTAAAGGGAAATGCCAACAACTTTATTCCCAGGGGAATTCCATGGAGTCACTCTGAGACCAGGCTCTAATTTTTGGCTTTATGTAACACATTTAAAAATTCACTTCAGCTGGTTGCAAGAAACAACACGGTCAAACAATGGAAAGCTCCAGAACAGCTCCTAAAACAACCTTGAAAGACCCCCCCCCCTCCTCTGCAACGCATGCGTTTTCCGCCCCTGCAGCTCTTGAATGTAATGACATCACTTATTCAGAGGCTATCACGGCAGCTTCTCACTTCAGGAGGCACATCCCGGGGCTCAGATATGAGTGATTTAAAACTGATTATAAATCCATTTGTGCTTGCAGAGGATTTAGGAATAATCATTGGAGTCCCAGCTGTGGATCCCACAGAGTTCATTGTCAACAAAGAAGTGCTGTTAGCCAGAATTAGCCAGTGGGTGGCACTAATACAACAGCTGAAACATATCAGCAGACATTATTTTCATTATTCATTCTATTGCCGGCTTTGGTTCCAATCAACCAATCAGTACGGAAGGAAGTTAGTCTAAGTGATTGACTGTTTAGCCTGACTTAGATTCAGTAGATCTCCAAAGGTTAGGTTCTGCACAAATCTGCCAGCCATTCACTGAATTGAACCGGGTGTAATGAAGCAGGATCAGCACACCTGCCATCTAAGTCTGGATTTATAGATCCTGGTTTATCTAATCTCATTTTACTGCTTTACAGATAACCTGATAGGATCCAAATGTGAACAAAACATGAACGCAAAGAGTTTGTGTTGTGTACTGTACAGCCTCCATTTTCTGCCTGAGTGGTGTTTCTTTAACCCCGCCCCTGCATTAGGGCTGACCCTTGAGGAGAAAAGGTGTGTCGTATTGTCCACAGGTGATGGCACAGAAACAGGAAGCTGGAGTAAACCGCAGAAACGACGCGGGACTTTGTTCCAGAATGAACACCAGAGAAAGCGCGACATTCTCCGGTAAGACTCAAAACCTACTAATTACCATTTTAAAAAATGTTCGGCCAGAAAAGTGTAAAAACTAGCACGGTTAAAGGTTAGGACTAGTTTAAATTACTTTTGAGTCGTGAAACGTATTTGTCCCTCCACAGGACGGCCAGACTGACGACATGAAGCAGCCTTTTCCCCTCATCGGTCTGTCCCTGGCAGGTAAAGCCACTCGCGTTTGACAGCTTTCTTTTTCTACGGCCACACCGTTCGCATAGCTCATAAGCATATGTGAGGAGTATCGGTGGAGACTTTATTGTGAGTGAGGAAAATAAACCGCAAACAGGCCATGGGTGGACCGCTGTAATATTCCAGCCACGTAGATAAAACAATTGCGTTTCGGGCTGTTCAACCTGCGGCGCTGCATTCCCGCCAGAGGACAGGCGGCTCGTGCCGTGCTGCCTTCAAGGCCTCCTAATAAAATCCCACATTCGAGATTCAGTATGTGGCGTAGAAGAACAGTTAGATTATTGGGTCTGTAATAGTTATGGTAGCATACCTATACTACATTTTCCGATTGCTGTAACATGAAAAACAGCCCTTAATATTTCTCTGCCTGCAAAAATAAAACTTCAGTAGTTATAAAACATGACCGCAGACGTGCTGTCCAATCAGCCATGTTTATCCGATGGAAGAGAAACGAGCACAACTTAAATGACTCCACCCACAACGGAAGAAGACAATTAGATAAGTCCATTAAGAGACAAAATGGCAACAAAAAAGGTAGAATGACTCACAAAGCAATTATGAACATACTGGCCATGTTCAAATTAAGCCCCAATGCAACAGCTGCAAAAATCTAGATAAAATGTAAAGTATACAACATTTTACATCTCATTTTGTTCACGAAAGATGTGAATAAAACAAAAGAAAAGGATGCAAAACTATGGAGGCAGATAAATGATAAATGACCCCAAAGGATAATTTATGTCATTAAAAAAAAAGAAAAAAAGACCAAGACTGAACAGAAAACGGTCACAAACAAAAGTGAACAAAAAGTTCCAGTTAAACTCTAAATAACCACAAACAAATGTTGCAACCATAATTATTCATATTGCAGTTTTGGATACCTGGAAGCTTTGCGTGTCAGTCCATGACCACGGATTGTTCTCTCTTTAGTGAATAATTTCTAACAAACAATGGTGGAGGCATAAAATCAATTTCATGTATTTAAACACAAAAATAAATCCTGTTTCAGGATGTAGTTTTACTCAGAAATGCACAAAAAGCATACAATTACAATAGTCTATGGAATGACAAAAGGTAGTTAACAAAAAAAGCAACAACTTAAGTGATGCATTGGTCCCGTACATTGACTGTATTCAATATGGACAAACCTTCCAAAAAAGGCTATTTATAATCACCGTTCATTACAACGTAAAGTGGCTGATGGTTATGTAAGATGACTCTGGGTCGAAATTTTGCTTTGAGTTTTACTATGTGGATGTTGACAGATATACGGAGGAATGGCTCGAAAAAAGTTTTAACTGAATTATGTATCCTATTTGCAAAAAACAGTGTATTGAAATGGCAAATATTGAGCAGCACTTAAAGTGTTTGTGCTGCTGCAGCGAGATGAGCAAAGAAAATTAGCTCCAAGAATGTGAATTATATTTTAATTTGTCCTTTTAAATAAGAGGTGTTGTTCATGCATGAAAGATAATAATTGAAGTAATAATCAGCAACACTTTCCAATTATTAAATACTCATTCCGTTGTGTATCTGCAGTTGAGATACTGCACAGCAGTGGTTCAACCTGCTGTATTTGGGAAGCATTTCTGCTTATTTTTTTGTCTCTAAATGTCTGTGGTGCGTCTCTCATGCTGTCGGGGGTGAATGAATCACTGATAATACCTTCGGTGAAAACAAAAACATTGTTCAGTTTGGTACAGACTGAAGAGGTTGATTGTCAGAATACATTTACTCCTACTAGATCAACCTCAACTTGAAGTTCAGCTTCCGAAAGTAGAATGTTTTCCAACTCCAAGTGCATCTCAGCAGTTTACAGTCTGGAGAGGATTTTTGTTTTTGCTTAAGTTTGCACATCATCTCGGCTCATTTCCACTCTGCGCATAATTCCAAATATTCAGCGGCTGGATATCTCTTAACTGTTAATGACCTCTTAAACACAATGTGTTTGACTTTTCCTCTGGTTTCTGTACTTGAGTGGCTCAGAGCAATGATGAAAACATCATCTGTATCTGAGTCATTCTTGGGCGTTTCTCACTTTTGTCTCATTACTTTAACTGATGTAAAGGCAACAATGGCGACGCTGTAAAACCAGTTGGTCTTTTAAAGATGTAACTTTAGAGAACTGAATCCATATAGAGTGAAGTCCAAACCAGCGAGACCGATCAGGACCATATTGATGCGCTGCACTGCAAATCGCATAGCTGATGTTCTTCCATATTTTGTTTTGCCTGTAAAGGGAGAATTGCAGATTCAGGTCGTGTTCTTCAGTCTCCAAAGACCAAAATACAAAACACAGATTTTTCTTCTTCGCTCTCTCTTCTGTACAGACAATAACATCTTACAGTACCTGAATATATAAAATCGCTGCATTCTCACAAAAAAGAGACACAGCATTGTCTATGTGCCTGTAATCCTTGTAAAGGAGGAGGAAACACAACAGAGCCACGGCTTAAGTTAGGTCAGGAGAACAGAACACAAAATACCGGTTTTTACTTGTGTTCACATGCAGTCCAAAAAACAAGGCGTTAATCTAGAAGGAAGGACAGAAAGTCTATGCCTTTTTCTAATGAGCTAATGAGCTGTTACCTCCTGGGCCTGCTCTGTGTGTCTACAGATTTTCCTGTGACGGAAGACGTATTTAATTGAGTAATGGTACCAATGGAGGAATGCTTGTTTGCAAACAGAAACATGCTAGGAGAATTGACTTGAATGAACAACCTGTGAGCTGCTGTAGCTGCTTCAGACTGAGAAGGGCTGGTTCTGCTTTTTTCCTTGGATTTGAAGACGCATGCAAGGATTTATGGGCCAGGAGAGAGGAAAATAATTGAATAGCACTGCTACATAAAGCACACTGATTATTTGGGCTTGTGTTTAAAGTGCTGCAGAGGTGAAAAATCATTATTCCTCAAACAGTAAGTCAAACCAAAATCCCTCAACATGACATATAGGGTCTCTTGGGAATATCTGTGCAATTCTCCTAAATGTGACATAAACCGCACATCTGTCAAAAAGGAAAAAAAAACAAAAACAGGTTTTTCCTTTTTAATCTTCATGTAGCGCCGCCAGCTGCTGGATTTGTATTCATCTCACTGCTCATTATCCATTTAATGTATTTCACCTGTTGCTGCTCAAGACCAACAGGATATCTCTTTTGTTTAGGTCTTCTCTTTGCCAGTGTTCTGGCGCAGGAACCGATACCAGTCCAGTTCCAGACTGCTCCGGTCCTGAGCCAAACTGGCAGTGAAGCCGTGTTCACGGTGCTGACCGGGCCCGACATCTTCTCCATGACGTGGAAATACCAGGACGTGACTGTGGCGTTGTGGGCAGTGGGAGTGGGCCAGGTGAACCCCTTGCCTCAGTTCCAGGGCAGGGTCACCATTTCTAAGAATCAGCTCCGAATCGGAGGCGCCCAGCTCCGGGACGCCGGAAACTACACGGTGCAGGTGGACCCCGCCGCCACCACAGGCCTGGCGCCCAACTCCAGATCAGTCCAGCTGAGGGTGTTCGGTAAGACACGAGCAGAGGCGGGCGTGGGGGGGGGGCGCTGATGAAATGTGTGAGACACAGAGGTTGTGAGGGAAGTGGTAATGTTAAGGAAGAACATGAAAAAGGAGGATTTGGGGAGTAAAATCATTAGTCTGGGAGGTATAATGAAATTAGTGACCCATAGAAGGCGAGGTAAGATTAATAAAAAGGAGGAGGGGGTGAAGCAAGTGGCTTAGGGCTTTATGCTAATTAAAACTCATTTGATATGCAGCTCTCATGCTCTTAGATGTTTGATATTGTCTAAATTTGGTGCTGCATGTAGAGACGGAACATCCTGTATTTCCATTAATTTACATTCAGAACTGGGATGGAGCCTGAGCAGCTGAGTGTCTCTTTATTTCTAGTCATCGGCCCACGCTGGAGGGATGACGTGCGTCCTTTTTACCTCGAGTACTAATGGGAGGGCAGGCTGACTGGATTGTTTGAAGCACCAGTCTCTTGCTGAAAGGTGACATTATCTGAACTCGTGACTGCTGGTTCCCATCTTGGATCAGCAGAGCGCTTGAGCACAAGTCTAATCCTCCCGCTCCCTCTCTAGCGACTCTTGAAATGAGAGTTCACTTAAATCTTGACATAAAACGCGGCTGCTGAGTCACATGCAAGTGTGACGCACTACAAAAATGCAAGGAGTTAGAGCTATTTAGTATTTGCTCTAATGTTTCTATTTGCTGTTGTGCTTCTCTCTTAGTCACAGCTCCCTCCATCCAAACGCACCCTCTTCTCCCTGTCCAATTATTTAACTTGGGCCGCTCGCCAAGAGGCATCTCGGCTACAGCTCACACCGTCTGCCCTCTTATTTGCCATCTGTGCTTCTATCTGAACGCTGTCCCTTCTTAGCTCTCTTGCTTTGATTACAACAAATTATCCTCAACAGAAACATCAAACTGCCCTCTATTTTTCTGTCACTCCATCCCTTGGATTGTCCTCTCACGGAAACACTCAGGCTCCATTTTTACAGTCGCGGTTATTTAGAAGCATTTTCAAGTCTCAAGTAAAATGTGCTGTTTGTTTGTTTTTGATCTCCAGATGCAGTAGCTGGGGTGAGTCTGTTTGTTCCCTCAGTAGCGCTGGAGGAGGGAAACGTCTCTCTGAGCTGTACATGGACTGCAGGGACAGAGATTACAGTCCAGTGGGGCAAAGGAGGCTCAGCCATCACAGCCGACTCCAGGATCACTATCTCAGGTGGCTCTCTGGTCATCAACCCAGCCAGACGGGGTGATGCCGGGGAGTACACGTGTACCGCCAGCAACCCTGTGAGCGCCCAAACTGCCACAGCGAGCCTCACCGTCTACTGTGAGTGTACAGTGACCAAGACAAGAAGCGGCTAATCTGCTGTAGCCACGGCAAATGGCAGTAGCTTATCTCCCTATCCACATTGCACTGCACACATCGGGCTGAACTGCTCTCAGCTTGCAAAAGACGGTCTTCCATAAGCTTACAAAGCTGCTTCTGGCTTTGTGTTGATCACATCATTAAGTCGGATATGACACACTCACAGCTGTGTCCCGTTTCGTAGTGTTTATCCACTGCATCAAAGTCTTTTTAGATCAAAAGTGGGTTTCTTTAGCCGCATTCAAAGCCACACATGCCAAAAGCATTGGCGTTTAAGTACGTGGAAGTTAATTTAACATCGGGGCACATTTCTGTAGCCGGTGATTATGGCCACAGAACTGGTTGAGGAAATCTGTACTATCGCCATCAAAGAGCCTGGCGCAGACCCACTGTGTGATTGTGCCTTGTGAAACTTACTAGGGATCTTTTACACTAGTAACTTATCTTTTGTTTTCCCCTTTCTACCAAATGCTAATTTTTCAGAAATGATGAAAAATGCTGTTCACAAGATGGATGACATGTTTTGTCCAACAAATGCTAATTTACAGTGGTTCCCAACGGGGCTACATAAACAAATCATATTTTAAAAGCTTGAGCTATCAAAGTAGTTTGTGTTTTTCCTCATAAATTGCATAAATAAATGATCAGAATTGGTGACAGATATGACAGGGAGAAAAAAATGTTTGTTCTAGTCAACAGTGATGCCAGTAGACTCATGCGTTTGGTTGGAAGATCTGTAAACCTGTTGTCATTTGTGGCTTTCAATAAATAATTGGCTGGCTGTTAAGTATTTTCTACCTAGATTAAGCTAAATGTATAAACATTTAAATCTGGAATACCTCAGTTATTTGAGTATTCAAATCCATTTCTCACCATTAAAATGTTTTTTTAAAGCACCTTTGGTACCGGCGGTAGATTAAAGACTTCTTGAGAATTTAAATGATTGGCTTAGCAGAGTTTTATGTGGAAGTTTCCTCCTTCCTCTTAGCGGAAACATTTGAATTGAATAAGGTTAAGTGGGGAGCATCTGTGTAAGGCCATTTGTAGATTTAGTCTGTGATGCCCCGCTGGCTTCAGGTCCTGACTTTGCCTGAGTTGATAGATGATTTTTAAAGTTTTCCAGGACCTGCTTTTTATGTTTTGTTTTTTTTTTATTTGAAAAAGGGGGTCTGAAATACCACAAAAAGTGGGAAATATTCAAATAATCACATTGTTTTAAAGGGAAAACGGCAAAACCTCTGGATGAGTCTCCCCATTTTCAGTTTCCTCTCAGCAACTATGCTGGACTGACTCTCCCCAATGTTAATTAATTCTTGAGATTTGTTGATCTAGCAGGTGTGAGAGCAGCCAGCACAGTCTTTGAATTCAGAGGCAGGGCACGGCTCTCTCATTAGCTGAATGGGATTAAAAAGGGTTAATCAGTTATTAAGCCTAATGAGAACTCAAACCCTAAACTTCCATAGTAATCCAAGCTTTAGCGCAATCTATATATTTTTTTGTTAGTACTGCTTTCAATTATATTTGTTGCTAAAAAAAAATGTCTTCTCATCAATAAACCAGATGGACCTGATGCTGCCGTCCTGACCGTCGACCGCCCAAAAGAGTGTATAGGGGGAGGGGACGTTTTGGTGGGACAGACGGCGCGCCTCACCTGCACGTCCGACTCGCTGCCCCCTGCTCTCTTCTCATGGCAACGTGATGGACAGCCCATCGCATCTGGCCAGCCGGACAGCGGGGTGCTCAGCCTCCAGACTTTCTCAACCGATGAGAGCGGTCGTTATGTCTGCACGGCCAGAAACGCCATTACCGGAGGCACATCGGAGCGGAGCACCAACTTGGAAATCGTAGGTGAGTTATGGTGAAATTGGACCACTCTGTGACTGAAAATGATGATGGTTGGTTTTGGATTCTGTCGCTGTATCAGTCTTGAGGACAGGGGAGGAAGAAGAAGTGTCCCGGGAGATTGGTCCGGTAACAATGTGGTCAAAGTCATAAAGTCATTCAGCTGCCCACCCTCTCTTTATTTTCAATTCTTTTTCTCCTTGTCTCTTTCTCTCTGCAATTACTTCATCATCCTTTTTTTAGAATCTTCTCCTGTGTCCTTCATCTTCTTTTTTGCTTTCCTGTTGTCTGTCTGGGCTCCAGACTCATTATCTTTATTAATTCTCCCCCTCATGACACTTCTATTTCAGATGTATGTCTCGATGGAGGGGAAGTTGCGGGGATTGTTATTGGATGTTTTCTGGCCGTTCTATTGATTGTACTCCTCATTGTGGTCCTTATCTGTCTTGCAAGAAGAAAGAAGGGTAAGTGTGCTTGTACACTCTCCATTGTGTCTTGCTTGAAATCACATGAATCTGATGATCTGACGTCTGCACAAGCTAATTTTTTTCCAGTGAGGTTACATTTCTCTATTATTATTTTTACAGCACAACAAACACAGCGGGAAACTTTGGTTGCTCGGAGGACATATTCAAATCGAAGGCCCATAGTAAGCCACTATAAAGTTTACAAGATTCAGTTTTGTTATTTTTTTCTTTTGAGATGGTACTTTTTGCAAATTAACCCCATCATTCTATCTTTCTTTTGCTCTCTTCCATATCCTCATTTTTCATTTGCTCCCATCAAGCCTCCAGATCCACAGCCTGATGTTGTAAGGGATCTGGCCCATGGTCTCCAACCCCCCCTCTATACCCGTCGTCCTGAGCGCTTAAACACAAGCCAGCGGGAAAGCCACCCACAGACACAGCCGCAGAACAGACAGCAGAACTCTGTCACACCCCAACACAATAGTCGAACTGACACAAATAGACTTCTAAACAATGCCATTCAGAACCCACCCGATGGCATTGACAACCCAGCATTTGTGCACGCTGTCGCTCCGATCACAAACACGCTCCCATACACACAGCAGCAAAACCCCAGCGTTCTCATTCAGACTGGCACAGGGCAGGGCGGCGCCCAGCCGCAGGCAGTCCAAGTCAGCCTCAACCCGCTGCCACCCGCTGCTCATCCAAATAATGCACAAATGCCAAGCATTCACGTCAATCTCAACTCCTACCCAGCAAACGACCCGCAGCCTCAGCAAGGCAGCTCATTTCCGGTGGCCAACGCAGCCCAGGACTCTGCTCCACACACGCAACATAACCAGACACCTGCAAGGCACACCAATCCCCACATGCAAGGCGGCCAGTCCTATCCGAATGACGGCCGGCCTGCCGTTATCCCAACGGGACATACGCAGTTTTACAATACCACTCTTCAACGAAATGCCAACACGCAGACGTACCAGCAGGATCCGGACCCTCGTGGAAGGTCTGAGAGAAACTCCAGAACACAGGAGCCCTCTCTAAACTCCTCCCACAGACAGATGCCTTGGGATCTCCTCAGAGGGACACCGTCATACCCCAGCGGTACCCTGCAAAGAGCCCAGAGACCCCCTGAATACACCTCTGATTATACAGACCACTCGATCCGTCCCCCTGCACGCGAGGCCAGAGCACCACTGAGGTCTCAGCCCCAGAGCCAAACGCCTTCCCGTTCCCGCAGAACGCCGCCCCGGCGCGATCCGCCGTCGGAGGAAAGTGGGACACGAAGCCGCTCGGCTGATCGGCGACCGCCAAACCCTGCCAGCGTCGCGGCGTTTGAGCCCGTGCGCCGCCCACAGAGAAGCCCCCACACACAAAGGCAGAGCGCACAGCCAGACATTAGAGGAAGCCAGGCTGCCCTCAGGCACGAAACGGCTTACCGCGATAACCCCCAGGCACTGCCCGGCCCGAGTCAGCAGGCCTCCGCCAGCCGCTCCGCCAGGTCGCGAGCACCCGCAGGACAGCGGGAGCCGACAGCCCCACCGGGCGCAGATACAAGAGCTCTGGCTGATCCTAATCACCTTCAGCGGGCTATCGTGGCTCAGCAACACACAGCCGCGCCGGTCCAAATGCCACAGGCGCTCGTCACACACACCGGGCCCGCCGTTCCCGCTGCCAACCAGCACCAGCGAGGAGGCACCGCTCCAGCTCCCAACCGCTCCGCCGAGCCTAATCCCGGCAGCCTAACCCAGGACGCACTTAAGGCCCACACTGAGAGGAGTCAAGTGTTCCAGAATCGGACCCAGCAGACCCAGGCCGCCCTGCTCCAGCCCGGTCCTCAGAAGGCTCAAGCTGGAGCCACCGGGGCGCAGCAGCGCCCACCAACTCCCCCCCCCCGTCATCCCCCTGGCCCAATTTCAAACCCTCCCCAAACAGCGCGCTCACCACAAGTCCCCCGCGAGAGGCCAGCCGCCTCCCAAACGCAGCGCGCCGGCTCAGCAGCGACCTGCCGCGCCTCGCCATTCCACCATGATGCCGACCAGCCATAATCACCATCACGGACATGGCCACAGGCATGCTCATGTCCATGCCCGTGGACACGGGCACCCTGCCCAATTCAACCAGCCGTGGCAGGTGAGTGTGAAACGCGCATCATGATTCTTGGCAGCCAGCAGATGCCATATGTTTATTGACATTACTGATCTCTAGCATGCAGCTCTCTCTCAGATGCAGCTGTCGTGTTGCACTTCCTGTGTGCATGTGCTGTCAGGGGTCTCCATTTACTTACTCTGTCTCCAAAACAGTTGTTTTGTCTGCCGTGTCTTCAAAGATACTCGACAGCTAGTGAATTTTTTTTTTTTTTTTTTTTTAAACTTGAGCAGCCAGTTCTGGCAAATGTACTTAGTCTTGTGTGCTTGGGGTACAGGGGGAGTGTGAAACTAGCTGTGTGTGTGTGCGAGGTTTGGCCTATTCCTCTGCGTGACATGCTGCCATTGAAAGCTTTGTTGTGTCGTTCCAGCAACAGACCCAAAGAGGAAGACCAAGATGATGGCGGGTGTCGGCAGACTCCAGTCTACGACTGCCCCACATGCACTGTCACAAACAAACGGCTGACAGACGAGCTACAACATTCAAGACTGACTGCACAGGCTTCTGCCTTAAAAAAAAAAAAAAGCTGTCACAAAGTACGTTTTTTTTATATGTGAAAGAAATGTACACGTCCCCCATGGGGATGGCAGAATGTGTTTTTTAAAAACATAGCCATTCTTTCTTTTTAAAAAAAGGAAATAATCTCTAAATTAGCTAAGGGCAATTAAAGTGCTCTTTTGAATCCTTTAAGAAAAAAAATTTTTCCAACCCACCAAAACACACACACACACACTCTTCCCACACAGTGTTTGGACTTCTGAAGCACTGATCGTATATCAAAAATAGCTGACGGCCTGTTCAAACATGTTCCATGATCAATGGCTCTGGACCAAGTTTACATCCTATCATCCATTCATCAAAAGAGCTAAACAACACTTCCTTGATAAATTGCACAAGGCCCTTGCCTGAACGTCTGCGGGCACCTGAGCCACCAGTGACAGACAGCCAATGAAAAGGCACCCCGCACAAGATGGACATGGAGACCGGGAATGGTGACAGTTATGGAGGAAGAAATTAGCAATGGGGGTGGTCTAATATTCACTTGGCGCTATTTATTTGATGTCTTCTATTCACAGATGCCTCTTATGACACCGCTCAATTAAGAGGCTTCGGCTCAGTGGTGCTCAGAAATAACCCTCTGCTGACTGAGGGGGGTCCCACAAATGGATGGGCGCTTGTTAATTAAATGCTTTAATGTGACTTTAAGTGACATAGAAAATAATCACATCCATGCAACTCACAGGGTAACAGACATGTTATTACTTTTACAAATGATATATTTATTGAATGTAATGTTTTTTTATTTTTAACTCAGGGATGTATTTTGGAATGAAGGAACTTTCTGACCAAAAATGTTGCAAATTTAGCTGAATTTAAATGCAGAAAACCAATATCTTGGCACATAAAAAAAGATAACCTTGACATTTATTTGTGAAAAGCAGCAGGAGGAACAGCAATATACCTCCTGGCTCCAGTTAAACATCTGCCGCTAAAAAGTGTTTTTTTCTTGGCACAATAATGCTTAGCATGCCCAAATGAGAATGAGGTGCTACAAGCACAGTGTTTATCTTTGTACCTCGAGAGGGATTTGTTGATTGTTTGGAGTTCATGAACTGTTGTAATAGCTATCGGTAATAAAGACTATTTTTTTTCTCTTCCTTGTTCTTGTGACTATGGCGAACAAACTGCTATCACAGTGCAGACACTTGTCTAAACAATTCACAAGAGTAGCACAGGATTTTATTTAGCAGCTTTCACAGGGAACACACTCTTCCAAACACCAGATTTCAGCTATTTATTTTTCCAAGAACAAATCACGGCAAGTCACTTCCCAAAACCACCCAAATATCCTGGCATTTGTTTGAACCACGACAACTGTTTGGAGTCGGGGTGTATCTCTGCTCACTGTTTTTATAGTGCTAATTATTCATGGCGCCCGTGTACAACGGGTGCTGCTGCTGCTGACACTCCCCAGATAAATCCCTTTCTTAAGCTTGTTGTGGAGTCGCGGAGCGTGTGTTTGGATCGCAGCTCCATCCGTCTCCCAATCCCCTGCTCCCACTTTTACGTCACCTCTGATGAACAGTCCTGCTGCTCACTATTGGAGACACTTCACGCTCCTCTAGCACTGTAATGAGGGAAGATGGAGCACTCTTGAGTGCCCGTACCAGATAAGAGCACTGCCTACCTGTTCCATCTGAAAGCTGTGATTTATGAAAAGTTTCGAGCGGTTTTACGAATTAAGTGCTGTGTCTACTACTTTGCGCCTGCCGTCTTTTGCGGTGAAGTGTGTTGTTTATTCCTGAAACGACTCAAATGGAATTGAGAAGGAAAAAAAAAAAATTGGTTGCAAAACCACAACGTGGCGAAGCTCAAAAGTTGATGCGGCCGCCTTCTCTGGGACAATTTGCATGCAAATCTGCTTGTATTGCCTTAGTGCACTGATTTACTGTGATTTACTGTGACTGCCACAAGTAATTCTAAATGTTTATGCATCCCTCTGAAGGCATAAATTAAAGGAAAACATAACTCCAGTGCTGTGTGTGCAAATAGAGCTTTTTTTTTTGTATTGATGGATGCTGGTTTAGGTGTGCGCACTGCAAACCTCCCCGGCCTGAAGAGAGCCAATGCAGATTTCACTCAGGAGACGGCATTAAAATAACTTTAATATTGCAAGATGTCCAATACTCGCTAATCCGGTTTTAATTCAAATTAGTTCTAACTCAGCAGAGGCACATTTTTTCTAAGTTTGATGGCATTTTAGTTAGGAAATGAAAAGAAGGTGCTGTAAAGCAGAAATAGAATCGAGTCCAATTAATCAACACTTCTGTGCAAGTTGAAAGCCAAGAAGCCTCCTTACTTTTCTCTACCATGACACTAGTTTTCTCCACCACCAAGAAAAGGACAGTGGTCTGGGACCAGAGTCCTCATGAGTCATAATATCACTGTAAACTCAACCATGGAGCCCCCATTTGTCAATATCAGTATCTTTAGGCAAGACCTTTAACCCCTGCTTTTCTACTTTGAGCACCTGTTTGTCAACTGACATATGGTTATGACTAAAATGTTATATTCATGATCAAGCTTTGTGGACTAAACAGTCAAACAAGTCGTAAAAATATCAGAGTTGACAGTTTGACCATCAAAATCCTTCGCCTGTCATCTAACCATCCTCGTGTCTCCTCACCCACAAGGGGGAGCCACGTGAGAGGATTTTTGATGTTATTGATTGCTCTCCCCTATCTCTCTTTTTTTTTGGGCTCCTTTAGGCCTTGACCATCTGTGCAACTTTGAGGGTAGGTGCTGAAATGAAAATGCAAGCCACCGGCAAAGTTATTTTTGTCATTTGTCCAAAGATAGAATGAGAAAGGGGGGAAGCAGAAACAAGGAAATGCTCAGCTGTCACAGACTTATTTTCTGAGATGTTTAAAGGTTAACTATTGCCTTTAGGGGTACAAATCAAACGCACCTCCTTCAGTGAGTTTTATTTCTATCATAATCCTCACTTAAATCAACTGAGTGTTTCGTGCTGTGTTTATTATTTTCATCATGCTTCCAATTTCAAAGTAAATAAAGGCCGTTTGATTCCTCTTCTGCTGTGAAATGATTGTGGAAAGTCATTGCTTTTGGGCCTTTTCAACAGATCAGTGTCACCAAAACACAATAAAAATAAAAACATAGATGTTGCCCCTTGGGTTCTTCGCAAATGATTTTTCTTCTTTTGTGATGCGGAAGTTGAAATGCCCTTTAAACATACTACACATGGGAGCTCTACACATGAAACACTGTGATGCCTGTCCACGCATAACAGTAAAATCCACACCTACACAGCTAAAAGACTGAAACCCACAATGCAGAAGTGAGAAGAAGATATTTTAAGAATAGACTGGTTGTCCGAAGAGCAGCGCAGGTACCCCTTTCTGTGCTGCAGCAGAAACTGAACACCAGACACAAAAAAACATATGACAGCTGAGAATAATCATGCATACAGCTTTACAGTCACTTGTTAGGGTTGTATCTAACTGGAACCTGTTCTACATAAGCTCCCGCTGAATGAACTTTCTGTTTATTTTTCATTTCTCCCTCCGTCTACGTGGGCCGAACACAGGCAAATCACTTTACTCCTGTGTAAAAATGTGCTGATGAATAGATTTAGCTAGGAAATATAACCACATTGCAAGCTGAAACTGGTTGCACATCAAATCTAGATCTGTCAGAATCAGAGTTTTGTACCTGACGTGGAGAAGCCTCTAACATTACCAGCTAAAGAGGTACCCTTTTTTTCTAAACCTGCACAGTGCAGCCATAACTGCAAGAAACACATGCAAAAAACACCTAAGCATGTTGCATATCGCACAATAACACCACAGCCAGTTGAACAAACACATTCAGATTAACATATTTAAATACCAATGAGAAGTGACAGCAGTCAGGTGATCAATCCAGCAGCAGGCCTGCAGCCCCGTGCAGATAAAGCTGTTTGCAGGATTTTGCTTCGCTTGGTGCAGTTCTTCAATCTGAATTTATGAATATAGAAGGAAGGTGAAGGCAGAGCTAAGACAGTTTGCTTTCCCCGTTATAGTCCTCTCCTTTGACAGGCTGGCTGAGGTAGGCCGCAGACTGTTGCAGAGGGAGCCTGATCAAACAAGCGGGCCACTTTTTCTGTCCTGCGGCACATGTCACACCTGAGCATACCTTTAATTATAAAGTGCTCGGCCAAGCTTTTAATACACTGCACGACAGCAGCTTTTCTCTGTTATTATCTATATCTAAATGACACCAGGTGGACAGATTTCTTTCTCTCCTGGGTTTATCGATGCCGCCAGCCTTTTTTTTTTTTGCCCCGAAAGGCAAAGCAAACACAATCAAAAGATGTCAGTCACCAAATGAACGTTGGTCTTTAAGTCCAGCCGATACAAAATCAGCAGAGAACAAAGTGCGCTCACACACGGCAGAAGGAAGTTTTATAGAGCACAGCCTCCAGTTTACCTCATGTGCCCTTTCTCCTGGTTACGTACAGGAGATAAGAGCTGTCTTCAGCTGGTCATGCTCCCGCATTCATTCCTGCCTCCTTGTAAAATACAGCTTGTGTGTTATTTGATATGGATGTGTTGGCCTACTTATTTGGGTTCAGCGGCACACCACTGATTGCTTTTAAACTCTAAATATATCTTTTACACCCGCTGAAGGAAATGAAACTGGTCTTGACTGACAGAATAGTCAAGTGGAATAAATGTGTAATAAATATGTCTTCATTTTAGAGAATCATTACACGTGTCTGACCTAAATTTCTTGGCAAAGCTTTCTGTCAGAGTTTCAGCATCAAGAAGGAATGAAGTCCCTTTTAAAAAAAAAATTGTTTGAAGGTAACACAGGGTAACACTTCTTCTTTTGCATAAAAGTGCTACTTTCAATATTTTTTTTGGCATATCCAAGTACTGAACTGAGCAAAGCATTTTATCTAGCCAATAAATGGTGTATATGACGCTAGTAGATTTGATCCTTTATCAAGAAGTCCACCTATTATTTAAAACAGAGGGTCTATAGTTCTTTAAAGGTGCATTAATCAACAGTTAAGTGCCCTTATCTCCCTATAATGCTGCTTAAAAAAAAAAGAAATTTGAAAAAAGCTAAATTCACTCTCCAATCTATTCCTTTCACTAAAAACAACTAAACACATGTTTTGGCTTTCATTTTCATATGGAAAATCATAAATATTTCTCCACAATAAGTCATTCAGGGACAATCCTTCAAGCTCTGCAAACCTGTGATGGGCTTTTGTAATTAATTGTGACATTTGATATTAATGATAAGACACTAAAGAAGTGGTACTGAAGGCTAACATTTGTGGGTAGCAGCATGTTCCCGCTTATTTCCGAGCTCAAAGAGTATTGGAATATCTCTGCTATCAAAATGCCACTGCCGTACCGTGTGACCTCTTGTTAAACAGGCCTCTGGGGGAGTTAGGTGTGACATTTACAAAATTTCTTTTGGCATGGTACACTTATATAAAATTGCTCACTATCATGTATTTTTTTGAACAGCATTTAATAAGGACAATGATTTCTGTGGGATTTTGAGGGTATTTGGCCAGTGACATTTTGCTGACCAGAAAAAGAGCTGTTTGTCCCATGATTCACAAACGAATGAGCTGAGTCAGCAGTTCAAAGCCGGAGACATTGCAATATAAAACAATTCTTTAATCTATCAATTAATTCTGTAGTGACAAGACCTTAGAAATGCATAGAACAGTACAAAGCTCAATCATTAACTAGGCTCAATACAACGGATTCATTTGATTAAACTATGTTTTGGAGCTTTAAGAGATTCAGGAGTCATAACTTTTTTCATTTGGGGCCATTAAATCAGAATTTCTCTGTCAAATGCCCCCACAATGATTAATCTCATAAAGAGAAAATAGATAGATAGTTTCATTTATGTTCCTTTTTCATGTTTTGCTTTGTCAGCAGTTTTGAAATTGGTTAGCCCTCTAATGAGCCAGATAAAAGTCATCTTTATATTATTCGGTCTTATCAAGGGGGAGCTTTAAAAACATTGACTTTTGTCAATGCTTGTCCTGAAGGAAAGCGTATGCACCAAAATAACCTTGATTTAAATCGTACACCAGGAAAACAGCACTTACCAGCATTAGAGCTACTGTGAGGTCATCAGCCGAA